AGAGTTTAAAGTAATTTTCAGACATGTACACAACAAATATCAAAGCATATTAAAACATATCTAATTAGTTTTACATGAATAGCAATTCGGTTTATAACACATTGTCCTATAATTTTCAAAAAGAGAATTTAGTAGTCTATTTTTAAATATACTTAGAGAGTTGCTTCTTTTTAAGTCAAGAGGCAGGTTATTCCACATCTTAAGAAGAGAGCTTGATGGTAAATACTGTAATGAGCACATTTTGAGAATGTCAAGTTGATAGTTAAGAGATCTTTCAAAGTTTCCAAGCTTTTTAAAAATATTTTCAAAAGATGCAGGAAGAAGTTTATGTGTATATTTATACATAAATATAGCTTGGTTAAAGTCTACCAGATCATTAATCTTTAGAATCTTATACTTAAGGAAAAGAGGATCACTATGAGACGTGGCTTTTGAGTTATCAATTAATCGTATTGCTCGTTTCTGTAAAATGTGAATTTGTTTCATTTCTGAACATTTGTTACATCCCCAGGCAGAAATTCCATATTCAATAAATGATCGAAATAAAGAGTTGTAAATGGTTAGTTTAATATTACTAGGAAGAATATTTTTTACACTTGACAAAGCAATTCTGAGATCATTAGTAATTTTCATTGGGCAAAGTAAATTAGTTGGGGCATGATTGTTCCCAAATTAAGGGTTGGAATACAATATTTGCTAGACTAGACCTTTCTAGACTTTTTCGAACTATTTATTTCAGCCTTCCTAATTTACTGTTGATTTTAGTTGACTTGTTTTTTCTGAAAAATTCTTGAACAATTGTTGATTATGTTTTTTTTAACTTCTGAAGAAAATTTATATTCACGCTGTATTAATTAAAATACTGAAGTTGTCGTACTAAACAATTTCATGCCTAAGCTTAATTTTTATATAAACTCTAATTTTTCAGGACCAATTTTGGTCGAGGGAACACGTGGTTAAGAATAATTTTTAATTCCCTGAAAAAGTTCACAATTTTATCGTTTTTTGAGATGCAAATTCGCGAATTTTCTCACGAAAACTTTGCAGAGCAGGTCGTTATTTTACTTAAATATCCTAAGGGACTTTAAGTAACTTAACGTCCCACTGTTGGGGGAATCATAGGTTGGTAATGTCAAAAGACGGTAAAAATTTTTTAATTGACTTAATGTTTGAAAAAGAAAGTGCTGTGGAAGACGATGTCTGGCCGCGTTAAACAAGTTCCACAAGATTCAACAGAAGGAGATAGAACGGATACGGGGCATAGTACTGAAAAACATCTTCACGTGTGATTTCGATATTTACTCTAGTTCTGAACCCTCTAGTAATAAGTTATAAGAAATATATATACTGGAAGTTATTTATGCGTTTTTATTAGAGTCTGACTCACGTCCTCTATAGTGCAGGCTTTTTTTGAAATTGAAACTGAAAGTTCTATATATTAAACTCAATTCTAAAAGAATATTCTATATATTGAACTCAATTCTAATAGAATATTCTATATATTAAACTCAATTCTAATAGAATATTCTATATATTGAACTATGTTGTAAAAGAATGTTCTACACATTGAGTTCAATTGTAATTTGATGTTCTATATATTGAACTCAATTGTAACCGAATGTTCTATATATTGAACTCAATTGTAACCAAATGTTCTATATATTGAACTCAATTGTATCTGAATGTTCTATATATTGAACTTAATTGTATCTGAATGTTCTATATATTGAACTCAATTGTAACTGAATGTTCTACAAATTGAACTAAATTTTGACTGAATGTTATATATATATATATATATATATAGAACTCAATTGTAACTAAATATTCTGTATATAGAACTCAATTGTAACTAAATATTCTAAATATTGAACTTAATTGTAACTGAATGTTCCATATACTGAACTAAATTTTAACTGAATATTCTGTACAAAGAACTCCAATTTAGCTCTATGTTTAATATTGGAATGATAAAAAAATAAAAAAATAAAAAGTATAATTTATTTTCAATCTGAACACACTTAAATTTGTTTAAGGGACTGTAAAAGAAAAATGAAAGGAGGTATTGGATGAAACCTGAGAATCTCAGGCGTTGACCGATACATATAAGACATCTATCTAATGTTTCTGTCTCGAGAAATTGACATAAAACTGTGTCAAAATTATACGAAAATTCATATATATGCAAATTTGTATACAAGTTTTAATATAAAACAGATCATATTCCACAAATACGAAACCAATCTGAAAACGACGATGTCCCACAGAAGCCTGAGAATCTCAGGTTTGCTTCTGTTATAATTATTTAATTTTTATTTTGCATTTTTAATAGATGTAATTGATATTATTATTACATATAGTCCGTATAGTCCGTATTACGTCACAAGAACTTTAGCCAATGACAGTGCAGTATACTGGTCACATATTGGCGGGAATTCTTGTGGCGTAATGTGGACTGATAAATAATATTTTCAATTATATTAATTAAAAATGCAAAAAAAAAAATATATAATGGGAGCAAACCTTAGATTCTCAGGTTTCTGTGGGATATAATCGTTTTCAGATTGGTTGCTTATTTGTGGAATGTGATCTGTTTTATGCTACAACTTTTATACAAAATTGCATATATATGAATTTTCGTATAATTTTGACACAGTTTTATATCAATTTCTCGAGACAGATACATCAGATAGATGTCTTATAGGTATCGTTCAACTCCTGAGATTCTCAACTTTCATCCTATACCCCCTTTCATTTTTCCTGTACAGTCCCTTTAAGAGAACATATTCTAATTTGAGTTACTCCTTTAACATAAAAGAGCCGTTTTGCTTATCATCAAAATGTTACATATCTAAATATTTATTCCATCATTATAATTACAATCTTAAGATCTTATAGAGAAACTGAATGTAAGTAATGGATGTATCTAGCTGCCACTTTCAATAATAGGGAAGACACAAAAATGTATCTTTTACCATGATTAAAAGATTAATACATGAAACTGTTATCTATTTATGTCATTGTAATGGATATTATAAGTGCGAAAAAGTTTTTTTTTTGCACTACGTTGGGTTTAAAAAAAACTTTCATTTTGATCTGAAGCAAACTACACAAATTTGAATCTCGGCAAACACTTTTTTGCGCGCATGATACCCATATATACAACATTTATAGTTTTATTCAATTTTCCTCACTTTATTTAATAGCAGGTCAATAAAGTAACTTTATCATCCTGTTGTTGGGTGATATAGTCACTCTACAACGGGAAATATAAGGCGTGAAATTTGAAATTTTATTAGTAGGGTGATAAAGTAACTTTTTCGCCCTGTTGTAGGCGATAAAGGCACTTTACCGCCTTATTTCGGGATATACTAGGTGTGATAAATTCTCTCAAAACAGAATAAAGGTTAAAATATGTCTCGATAGAGATAGCTTTTTGGTTCCGGCATTACTGTTTCCATAATCGGCAGTGTGATGAGTTTCTAAGCTGAATCTATAGCTGAATCTATTCGTTTTGTCAATTTTCGTTGCTTCTGCTTTTTAACTATATACCGTATACCCACAAATACACAAACTATAATAAAGCATCCAATTCTTATCCTTCAAATCTACTTTTTGTTGAATTAAACTTTTTAAAATAAAGCTTCCGCTCATATATATATTTTATGTTAGCTATAGCTGACCAATCGGCTCGACCAATTAGGCTGAAATTTTTGGAGGGAACACATGAGTGTCAAAAGGTAAAAGTTAGATTTTTAAAAAAAATCACTTTCATTAAAATCGTTTTTTTTAAAGCTCAATTTTTTTCATTCAAAGGGCAACGCTAGGCACTTCAGCTAGTGTTGTTTTTAGCCATACTTCCATTCTTATGAATTTAATGTGTAAAAATGAACTACTAACTAATGGGCATTTTTGATTTTCATATAATTCTAATCATACTACAGTTAAAAACAGAAAACTGTAGAACTTGAGTGTTTTCTTCAATCTTTTATACTATGCATGCTATTTTTGTCATTTTTTAACTGTCGAAAATGTTCAATGCACATAATAATAACTCAGTCCTAAATTACAAACTCCTTAGCAACATTCATAATAAAAGAAATGAAGAAGACATCAACCCTTCCACTGCTTTCCGGTGAACACTGTATAAAATCTTCAGCGGCAAATAAGTTTCCTGTGCACTTTTAAAATGGCGTATTAGATGCTTTCCTACGATGATGATCACAAGAACTACTGCTAGGACTCCAAATAGTAGTTTCATGTCAAACTCATCAATGTTGTTGTATAGAGAGGCGTTTCCCTAAAAAGAAACATAATTTGATTTAGTGAGCAAGGATACCATGGTTACCAACACAGGAGGAGGCTTAAAGACAACTCTGGTCAACCATCGATAATGATAAACCATTGATAATGATAAACCATTGATAATGATAAACCA